AGGTTCTGCTTGAAGCACCCTCCTTTGCAAGGGAGTCAGCAGCCTCATTGCCTTCCAGGCCAGGAATCCAGACCAGAAACAATCTGTTAAGTCTTTCTTTCGAGGAGAGTCGTTTTTGTCAATTTGCTACCAATTAGACGTTGCTCGGTAGGAGCCAAGAGGTTCCAACGCCGCTTTACTATCTGAGAATATTTTTAATGACTTGTGTATGAGGTTAAATTCTTCTAATCTCTCCGCATATAATTCAATAGCGTAAATTTCCGCTTGAAATACAGTCGCATAGGTTCCAGGCAGGTTGATATCTCTGTCCTGGGTCGGCGACTGAAAACACTTGCACCAGAACAGGAAGGTGTTTTTGATCCATCTGTGAACCAACAACTATCCATAGATAGGTTACCCTATAAATTTATTGTTTCTCCTGGTATCAATGTGGAATTTTGGTGGTTCGAATGGTATCACAAAAAGCGCCAATTTAATATCCACATAGATTATGAAAATAAATTTCATATTGTGCATAAAGATTTTATGTTTGATAGTGTCTACATATACCGAATTGCCAGAACTATCTTATGTAGAAGTGGTATCAACAAAATTTTAAATGTTATATCATATGCTATTAAAAGTGAGGTGTAACATTTTTTTTATAATCAACAGAGAGTGTATTCAATTTTATATTCAGGCAACTTTTTTGATATAATACATTTTTCGATGAGTTTTCTGTGATACATGTGAAACAGGTGTACAGGAATGTTGGGAAATAAAACAAAGTGATTTCCATCTTAGAAGTTGTTAAAAGTCAAATAGAATCAATAAGTCTTCACAAGAAATTTTTAAATGTTATAATTACATTGAGCAAAATTTGGAAACAGAAAATTTGTAGGAACTATAAACTTTCAACAACATATTTGATATATTAGAACCAATCAGGAGGTTATCTGTAAGCATACAATCTTCGGTTTACTCCTTAGATTGAACTAGCCCCTATGAAGACATTAGGAGCCAAGATAATTTTTCCATAATATGAGGCATAGTTTTCAAATATTCAAGATACTGTGAAGTTCTTTCATTACCTCTTTGACACGGGTCTACTCCTACTAGAACCAATTGGTACATTACAACTCATTACATTCTCAAAATCACTTTTAATTATCATTCTTCAATTGGGGCAATACTTTGATTCAAAAAACGAAGAAAATTTTAATCTATAAATGAAAAAAAAAAACAAAATTTGAATAATGGATGATAGGATGAAATGAAAACTAAAGTTATGTTAAAATTATAATCTAAACAAATATAAAGTAAAATCAAAAACACCGAAAAATTGAGAATCAAGGACTTTAAACAGTTATATTCCAAAATGAGACTTGCAGAGGATTCCTGTTTTACTTACACTTCCAAACATAGCTCCACATTTATCACAAGTTTTCTTCACTTCTTGTCTATTACCACAGAGAGCACACTCCAATTCAACAACTTCTTTTCTATTCAGAACATGATCCTCATTTTCATCATGGCAAAATCTACAAGTATAAACTTTTTTGCAGCAAGGAGTCTGAAAAAAAATCAAGCTGAAATGTTTGAACTATTAGAGTTTATTTGTAACTAGATAAATCAGAGCCTCGGCATTGTATCCATACTCCAATAACATCGCTGTTGCAATTTGTCATAGATCTCAAATTTCATATAGTACAAGGCCAGGTTAGGTTAGGTTATGTTAAGCCTGGCAAGATTGAACTTTTGCCGGGCTTAGCATAAGAATATCAAAGATGAAAATTATACATATAGAAGAGTTCAATCACTGCATTCATGGCCCGGCTTAGTATCATTGATGATATGTAAGGCATATCAAAACATAGATGTCTTAGATGATGGATGTAAGATCTATTTGCTTACTCATGTTGATGTTGAAGCTTGGTTTTGTAAAGAACTGATGTGGGAACTCACTTATTTTTTTTTGTTTGTGGGTTCCTTATTGAAAATTACATATTTAAAAACAAATAACTTCATTGAAATATTCAAAATAGCTGTACTTCAAAATACTATACTCAAGTAACTCTTAACAGTTATCCAACTATTTTCACTTATTTTCTATCGTTTGTTAAAAACTCTGATAACCGTTTGAAAAAATATGTTTAAAATCTGTTTTTTCCGTTAATCAGCTGACGCCCCCATATGAACGACAGTTCTCAGAAGTTGAGAAACTTGTGCAAGCTAAGGACTAACGAGGTCTTACCTTTTAACGTGTGATTCCTAACACGGTTGCAGAATCATTCCAGCTTCAACCAGATAAATTCTCTCGAGAAAAATATCTGGTCGAGGCGGGAATCGAACCCACGGCCTTCCGATCGTGAGTCGGGCGCACTACCACCGCGGCCAATTCCACAACTAAACTAACTGGCAAGACTCCAAAACCATTTCCAATATTATGGAGTCAGTAATAATTCATTTCATCCTGAGTGGACATAATGACAAAAACTTCTTCATTTGTATGGATAAGAGTTCTACCAAAGCAATTTACTGGATGGAAAAAAGTCTCTTCAACAAATCAACAGGATTATATGGCCGAGCAAATGGAGCCTGAGGACCTCCCAGACAGAGTATTCATTCTTGAATGATGTATGTGGACAATCTCATCCTCCTTACTCATGAGAACTGAGGCTGCATGGACCAGCTGAGAAAAAACAGAAGGAGCAATTTCTCTAAGGGACTCATAATGAGAGTTGTACAAGTCAATCTACAATACAGTAAGGGTTCCTTGGAGGTTCTTAGGAAGGGGGCGTTTAGTTTTGTACTCATACAAGAATTGTGGTCTACAGGAAATCATTGAGATTCTTCTGTAGCAGGGACCTATTAACATTCTGTACATAGGGCATGTGAAGTATGACTATCTGACGTGAACGAAATATCAAACTGGAAATCAAACTTAAAAAATTCAAGGAAATCAGAAAGAATCTCTAACTGAATACAACAAAGCTAAAAAACAAAAGTTTCATAAAGCAACAAAGGGAAGTTAAAGATGGGAGCAATCTCTCCATAATTGGATACATTAAGAAAAATACCGCTGGGAATAGATAGATTTACAATCTCCACACTTTTATTAATAAAAAACATAGTATGTGATCTGAGCCAGTTGACTGTATTCCTAATTATAATTTATCAGGGTTTTGGCATGAGAGCCGATTTGAAAAAATTATTAAAAAATTTGATATTATCTAGACCAGTAATGGAATAATTATTATGGCCATTAAATATATTTTTATGAATTTTGGATTTGCAGAATCTCTGACAAGACCTTTCAGAATATTGTTTGATATATGTTAGGAATCACACGTTAAAAGGTAAGATCTCGTTAGGCCTTAGCTCGCACAAGTTTCTCAACTTCTAAGAATTCATTCGTATGGGGGCAATAGCTGATTAAAGGAAAAACAGATTTTAAACTGATTGAGTGTATTAATATCTTACAGAGTGAGGGAGAAATCAAGACGTCTGGAGATTCCAGAAAGAATTGGCAGACAGGAGTAGATTTGACTCAATACTGGTTCCATGACACTCAGAAATAACAAAAAAAGAAAAAGGTTGTGAGCATGCCTGCCAGACAGAGGTCATCGTACAGTCCTGGACCATCTATGTGATACCAAAATTATTAGTAAAGAATCAGATGAGGAAATAAGCCAATGAAAGAAGAACAGTGCACTATTCATATAAGACACCTGATCTACACAGTCATCAGAGTAGATTAGATTGACATGTTGCAAGGTGAAGTCCTCATTAATGAAAACAAAGAAAGGATTGTAGAGTGGAAGGTCTGAGAAACCAAGGAACTGTATAGTTATCTGGGAGAGGTGACTCAGTAGTTGATTATCAAAGACTACTTGTAAGGAATTATCTTTCAAAAATCGGGAATGCCATCAAAGACTACTTGTAAGAAATTATCTTTCAAAAATCGGAAATGCCATAATCCAACAAGCAAGTCATAAAAACAGTTAATAAACTTTTCTTATTTTTATGTATGTTATTCATGAACTTGCCCTGCATCTATAAAACAGAAAGCAACAAAACTAGATAAACTCATTATACACATGCATTGAATTATTTATTGAAGAAAACTTCAAAATGGAAAATATTTCTTTGAAATTCGAAAGAGAAATAAAACCCACCACAAATTTGGATTTCCTACGATAATGAGAACATCCGATTAGCTTTTCAAGCTCTTCTAATTCTGGAGTATCATTAATTGGATTGGATGTTGTTTCCATTACGAGATAATTTCAAAGTGTCACAATAAAATTGAATCCTTTTAATCAGATCACCAATATTCCAAATGTTATTTTTATTCATCCAAAAACGGATTCTATCATATACATAACACTGGATTTTTACTTTTTACCTACTACTGTCACCTCACACTCACAACCACTAAAAATATTCAACGTCACTATTGTGACGTCTGACGTCCAATGTCATGTCACTCATGTGCTGGCGTTTTCCTTTGCTAAAATCGGTGGTAAAGAGGAACTAGACCTTTTCTGAAATATTTCGGCATCGGTGTATACTTAGTGGAATGTAAATTCCACCACACGTCACCCAACAACACTACTGTGCCAAAAAAAATCAGGATCTAGTCTACTGAAATACAAAATACCATTATTTTATTGTTCAATTATTTCAGAATAACTGATAGAAATTAGAAAAAACAATAAAATACATTGATAATTGAGTAATCACTTGATTCAGTTCAGACCTGAAACTAATCCAAGCTACTTTTATACAGTTCTATCATTATTGAGACTAACCAGTCAATGGAAATCATTCTTGTGTGACCACTAAAGGTCTATCTATAGATCCACTTTCGCTGCGTGAATCAAATTTTCCGAATAGAAAATACTGTAATACCAAAATTTATCAATCACCTCGAAAATTGTTTCTGTTTTCTTAACGCATGATAATAAGTTTCGAAAATGATGAAGTAAGATAGGCAGACACAAATCATAGTAAAACCAGATTTGACGAAAGTTCAGGAAAAAAAAACAGTATTTGAATTGATTGATGAATTTAGGAACCGAAACATTTATATTCGGAAAATATAACGAACGGGGGTAAACCTTCGAATTTAGTGGCTTATATATAAATAAATAGTGTCCATCAACTAGAATTTATATTAGAAACTTGATTATAATTAGATAAAATGTATTAATATTCCGGTAATTTTGGTCACGTATGAGTTTCTTGAGTATTCTATGTTCTGAGCTGAATCCATAATCATCTTCAACAACGGATTCACTGCAAGATCACACATTTGTTGTTTAGTATTAGCCATCATGAAGAGCTAATATTTGTGTAAACGAATATTATTCACTGAACTAGACTGTCGAAAGGAGAAGAAATAGAAAAAAAAAGTACAACAAAATAATAATTTCGAAATATTAGAAATAGAACATCCAAATATTTAAGTCCTAGCATTTTTATAGTTCCATTAATTTCTTTTCGATTTCAAATCTTTCAATACACTTTTAACATTCACAAAAAAATATATTGAACATAGAATATTTGAATGCTTGTGACTATGTTTCGTACGACAATAATCAATGTTTACCCCTAGTTTCAAGTTCGAATTATTGAATCTAGATGTCACCTACACCGTAGATTTCGTTTTAATCTTTTGATTCTCAAGTTCAATATTAAAATACTCTTTACGATGTTGTAAATTCAAAGAATTTCTATAGATTGGTTAATTTTTATTTTTCATACTGTTGAGAAGGAACAGTATGCAGGTCTGATAATGAACCAAACGAATTCTCCAATTTTCTCTCAATCATTTCGTAAACTTCCGTTCAATGTCATAGAACATTTTGTTCTTGTTTGTTGTATAAAGTAAAAACTTGTTACTTGACTAGAGAACTGAAATTTAGTAATTTTGTTTGATAATATACTGAATTCAATATTATAATGCACCTAGAGCTACACTCGATGTCAAATTCATCATGAACTTTCAAATATAGTGTTTAGATAAGATCCGAAAGTAATCAAATGCTAACCGATGCTAACCAGAAATTCTAACAACGGAGTCATTTTCTTAACGGAACAGATTTGATTCTGAAGTTTAAAAACGAGTATTTATGAAATTAGGTTGATCTTTTCTTTCTGTCCATTGAGATAATTTCTGAAAAAAGGAAATTTGCTTTGGTTTTGGTGTTTTCAACGTACGATGAACAGGATGATGTTATGGGACTAATAGCTTCGAGCTCCAACATGAAGAACTTCGTTATTGAAGTTGCGTGTTCCCAATCTAAAGCAGAGTTAGAATATTTAAGTCACTTTACCCTTTGTATTGTGTATGTGATTATTTACTTCTATTATAATCAGTGTGACACTATTGAGATGTTTATACATTGTAGTAGCGACTCATACGTGTCGAATTTTCATTTTGTTTGAATCATCGTCATTGAAATGTGTATTTTATTTGCAACACATGTATTTTTTCTCAGTTGGACTCATCGTGTATTACCAGTTGTCAGTTGTTGTAAATGCGTTTATTATTCACGTGACAGCTGACATTAATGACACACAACAGAGTAGCCAACGCATAGAAAATGCATGTGCTTTAAATGACATCCTTATTAGTCGAAATATGAAATGTTATAGATAGCTATATGATTCAAAGAGCTTGAAAGAGAGCTACAATTCAGGTAGCAAAATTGTTACAATAAGGAGTATCTAATGATTTTCATTATTTCGGAGAGCAAGACAGAACTACTTATTTTCTCTAACTTTTTCGTTGACACTTCATGAGTTGAACGTATGCCACTCCTCACACCGTGGGGTAAGTGATCATTGGGTCCGAAAAACATGTGCACTAAACCGTAGTGAGCCTAGAATAACAGCCTTCCGCATTTGTCAGGCCAAGGTTACTGCCTTTGTGAGGCAAGCCAGCATGATCTTGAGATTCGAGAATAGAGAGGGTATCATTCCACCAAGGAATCCAATAATCAGAACAAGCATCGTAACAGACTAGTCTGGATAGAGTCTGCGGAGTTCGAAGAGGAAATATCGATATTCCCTCTGTTTTTTCCTCTTTTCGGACTATATTCACCTTACCAATAGCTGAAAACTCCACGACGAATATCGTCTTATTATGATTATTAGTATATTTTTTTTACCAGAGGGTAAGCTGGTCGAGCTCCATCCCCGAAGCTCTAACACATTCGGAAAGGCGTGCAATATTATTAACCAATGACCACTCACCACACTGTGAGGTAAGTGATCATTGGGTCCGAGAATCATGTGCCCTAAGTATAATATTATTATTGAATTTCTTTACTAATATCATTTTCTTTATGAATCCAGATACTATACGATTGGATTATTTTCAAAATACCTACATCAACACTTTTTTATGGAACAAAGATCTTGAATTTTCAAATGTTCCCGCCCCGTTTGACAATTAACCAGTGGCTGGGTGTCGTTGATTTGTCAGTAGTGTGTGTAGTGCCTCAAAATGGCTACCAGTGATGATGAACCTATGCATCATTTATATGAGGTTTTTACTACTTGTTTTAATAAAATAGCCAACAAAGCTCCTGGTAAGTCCTTCATTACAGTGTCATTTATCAATATAATCCAGTGTTACGCTGTTATTCCGTCATTATCCTTGATAAAACTCCAAAATAATACAATCCCAGCGCGTGTGTTCCCAAAACATTGAACAGCTTGCTTTAAAAACCCTTAGGTATAAATTTTAAATTTTGGTCAAAGTGCCCAAAGAACATTTTCCACGATTTATTTGACATTTTCAGTTGTTTTCAGGACTGCTCTGTCTTATTTTTTTCTCGGAATTCCGCTAATTTCATTCCGAAACATTTAATATTTGTGTCATTTTGGAATGTTAAGTTGCTTAGGTTTCTTTTTCTGTTTACATCTTGGTTGGACCCATACTTATGTTGGTTTATTTTGAAATAGTAACCGAAAAAATATTGTGTTTGAAATCGATTAGTAGTGTATTATTGAATTGAAAAAGTTAACCAATTGTTTCAACAAGTGATAATATTTGTTGTAACCTTACTTTAAAAAATAATCGAATGTTTTTTTCATTAGAAAATAAGATCAATTAGATAAGCTATTTAATAAATTGACAATTGTAAGAAATTATCAATTCAGACAACAAATCTACCTGAAGATAGCTCAATAATACAGACAATTTGTGTTAAATTATCTAATAGATCTGTTGCTATATATAAAAAACGGGTTAACTGCACCACTTGATAGAATAACCATGGCATATAATCTATTATACCGAGAATAAACTTATTGTCATAGACCAACAAAATATTTAGAAAACATTGAAGGGTAATGAAAGTCTAGTACAACTGCTACTAGGTATTCAAACTACATTAATATATAACATTCAATGAACAATAAAGAAAATCCATTGTTGTCTCTTCAATGACCAAAGTCATTCATTCAACATAGTGGGAAATTATTATATGATGAATATTGGAGGCTGTTGGTGTCCTTGTTTTACTCTTTGAATGAACAAAAATTATGATACCAAGCAAGCACTAGGATCATTTTCAAAAAAAGCAAATCATTATCAAAATAATCCACTTTGGAAGAGTCAACCACTGGTTATTCTCAGAACCTTATTTTGCAAAACTAAAATGTATTTTGAATTTCCTGTTTGAGTAGTATTACTTCAGAATGAACTTCAACTGAAAGAATGGAAGAAAAAAAATGTTTTCTGATTGTAACCTCAATTTTTATACTACAAGTCAATTAATTTAATCAATGGTATTCGTTTAGAGTTCCGAAATTGATGATGATCAAAAGCTAATGTTATTTAAAAAATGATATCTATAATAAATACAATATCTATATGATGCTTCCTTACTACTAACTGTTGTAGGAATTACCTAAATTGTTCAATAATCAATTCACAGTTAATAGTGAAATATTCAGTGCAGCTTTCAACATCTTGATAGATAGATGAATTTGAAAGTTCTGTTTGTTTAAGCAATGGAAGTCCAACCAGTGTAAAACAGAAATGCTCCGATGGATAAAAACGGTCCTGTGGATGAAGTTGCAGCATTAAATTTACTTCGTTGGGACTTTTATTACACTTTTAAGTAATTGAATGGTTTCATTCTTATGAACAAAACTGATTATAGGGTTGCCATTTGTTTCTTTATACCTATATTGAAGATCATATTTTAATGTTTCTCGAATTTTTTCTTGCATTTCGGTAAACTTTTTATATTTTGTAGGTCACGAATTATTTGCATTATAATGATAATAATGACCATAAACCTTACGATAATCATTTTTGTGTTACTCGTTATTTCCAACAGGTACTTTTTCAATTAAGCGATAATAGTATAAGAACAAAAATGATGATTGTAGAATTATGGTTTTTATTATTATCATCATTTCCACAAACAATTTTTGGCCTACAAACTATGGGACAACCTAGATTAGATTTTTCAATTATTATTATATAATTTGATTTGGAAAGAGAATATTACTTTTCTTCATTGTCAATAGAAATAAATTGCAACCCTATACTCTGTTCTGTTTATAAAAATGAAATATTCTATACTGTTGAATTATTTAAAAGTATGCTTGAAGTTTCAGCTGATAATTTTACTGGCCTTAGATACAACCTCATGTTTGAAGTAACTTTAATGCCACAACTTCATAAACAGGACTGTTTCTATCCATCAGAACGTTTCTGTTTTCACATAGGTGGAAGTCCAAACCTACATTATGTGTATTTATAATAAACCCTTATTAGAGTGTTGTTGAACATTATTATTGGTACTTACCTAACACAATGAATAAATATAAAAAAAAACATTTTACTAGGAATTGAATATTGTCCAACAAATGGTATTTTTTAGTAACTTTACAAAGGGGAAATAAAAAATATGTTGATTTCATTAATAAATCTATTAAAACATCACAATAGCAATAATAATTGCAAGATGATTTAATTACAGCTTTCGGAAGTTTGGTAGGTAATTGCCACGAACTTAACAAATTGACTGCAAGAGTCGTGTGAATAACCTAAACATAAAAGTTTCTGAATTCTAATGGTGAGTTGGAAACGAGTATATTGATCAACCTAATAGTCCCAATTCAAACAAAAATGATGATGATTGGAAATATACCGGTCTGATATATTGAAAAAGATACCTTAACTCAAGCTCACTTTGGGTGCAAAGTTACGTTGAATAATTTTTCGTATTGAATTAAATTTCTGCAGTATCCTCTGGTCTGGATCGTTCCATAGATAAAACTAGTAACATATTAATACTTTTTTGAACGAATGATTTCTTAATATTTACCCAAAACTACCTGTAATTATTTACGATGTGTTTTTTAGTCGAATATGGGTTTTTACTATACTGAAGAATCAAATGGAATACAACATGAACAGTGAGAAAAATAATGAATATAATAATGAGGAAGATCTTTCTTTTGAAAAAGATCAGTTGGTGATCGAAACACGTGTCGAGGTGTTAAAATAACAGTTTGGTGTTGGGAAAAAACTCCACTAATATTTATTGAGCAAAATAATGTTTTTGTACCTAGTTGAGAATACTGACTTTTCTACCACCATATGAATCTATATCTTTTCTGTAATACCTAGTTGATATTTTTTTAAATTTTTCTGAATACCGAGTTTTCAGTTGGTTTATTGAAATATAAAAAAGTATTTGAGATGGTTCAGTTGTCTTTATAAGCTAAGAAAAAATATACCTACTTGATGATATATAATATATGGTGCTTATTGTAAAAAAGAAAAATAATGTTTGCACACATTTTTGACACAATATTATATGTATAGAACAATTATCCAGTAAATTCGAGTTTTCCTGGTTTTGGGTGGTGTTGGAAAGAGGGTATAGACTTTTGAAGGGAAGTCGTTGCACAGGTGCCTGATGGTTTCACTTCAGCTTTCTGCGCTGCATTAGCTGGGTTAGCTTTTATTTTTCGGTTAGGTATTTGCCACACGTACCTACAAAATCATAGGTCTCACATGAGAGGCAAGGGTTTGGTATTTTTACAAAATTACTGAACTATTGGGGTACACAGCATGCACAAAAACATTTTGAACATTTATTCCAATATTTCGACACTTTTCATTGTCATCATCAGGGAAATACAAAAGTAAACATGTGCTGTTTACCTAGTGCTCAAGTTTTGATAAAACTACTTACATTATCCGTGAGATTGCAAATGATGGAAAAATTATCACATATATGTACAGAACAACATTTTGGTGAATATGACAAATACAATCTTCCTAACAGGTTAATCTTATTTTGAAAATAATATAAGATTTTATTTGTCAAATTCACCTTAATGTTTTTTTGTACATATACTTATATTATAATTTTTCCACCATTTGCAAGCAACCTCACAGATAATGTAAGTAGTTTTATCAAAAATTAAGCTTTATGTAAACAGCACATCTTCAATAGTTATGAACCTTAAATACAGTTCACCATCAAAACTGAGAACAACGAACAATGGGTTCCTTTCCTAGACACGAAGATTATCAGAACTCCAGATAATACTCTACTCATAGATTGGTATCGCAAGCCTATCAGTTCTGGTAGGTTCTTGAACTATTGGTCATACCATACGCAGACAACGAAAATTAATTTGGTCAAACAAATGAAGAACCACATTCTGCAAATTTCCGATCCTTCTTTTCATACAAAAAAATTAAATATATTTTTCCATTTATTTATTAATAACTTCTACCCGGATCCTCTTATATAGTATGTCAACCATTGACGTTCAAATCAACAATAACAACCAGTTGAATATAAATCCTTTACAGGCTGACAATGTCACAATTGGGGCTGATCCACCTCCAGTTCCTATACTTTTCTCTCTTTCCATACATAAGTGATATGACACCCAAGTTATGCAGAATTTTCAAAGATTTAAATGTAAAAATAGCTTTTAGAACTATAACTCACCATTAATTAATCTTTTTCGAAACTTAAAGATGAAACTCCTATTAACTTTCAATCTCAATTAATCTATTCTATTCCATGTTTAAATTGTGGTAGAGAATATATCGGTCAAACGTCAAGATTACTCAAAGACAGAATCAGCTCACAAAAAGTGAAAGTAGATTACATCCTGAGAGATGTGCTCTCAGTATACATGTTCCCAAAGGTCATATAATGAACTACAATTCAACAATAATTTTATCAACTGAAAGAAATACATGTAAAAGATAGTTTTTGGAAATGTCATTTATATTACAATCCAATAATTGCCTTAATGAAAGATCATACATTGATCACCTCAGTGAAATCTATGCCTTTTTATTAGACATTGACAAAAATCTACATGATTTCCAAACCAATAATATTTCTGGTTTTTCATCAATATAATTCATAACATTTTAAATATTTTTTTTAACAAACTTGCAACCTCTCTATGACAGGGCTTTACTTTCATTTAACAACAGCTCTTCACTTGTTTTCCTGAAGACTAATGAAGGGTGTCTCTCTCTTTGTTCTTCAACCACATGGCTTTTACCGATTCTTTCATCTGGATGTTTCTTTAAATTTGCCTGTACTTGGGTTACATCATGTAATAAATAACCTTTGTATTGGTGCTTCTCTAGGTTCATTGTTTCTAGAAATGTGTATTTTTCGGGGAGTATATTGAATGTTAGGTCTTGTTGTGTTTTGATTTGTATTTGTATTTGTTCCTCGATAAGTGAATTATAACTTTTGAATTTATGGATGTTTAGGTTTTTCTAGATGTCCATACGGTTTCCTTTATTGACTTGTTTTATGAGTTTGATGTTTTCTGGTGGAGAAAAGTTATGTTTGTTTTTTGTATGACGTGTGTTGCAAGGTTTGATTTATATGTTATTGGCTTTATGTATGCTTTTTTTTAAGGGGAAAGTGGTTCATACAAAAGTCTAAGATCTTCATATTTCCTACAACTTTTAACTTTTGTATTCGACTTTTTTCAATTGGTGGTCTAGTTTCAATGTAAATAATGAAAAACCATTTTCCACTTCTAAAATTCACCCCATTTCATCTCGCTTTCTTTGGATCAACTCATTTTTATTTATTATGATTTACTTTTTTATATAATAAATACACCATTTATTTTCATTTATTTCTATTTTGATAGTTTTTTTTTTCGAATTTTTTTGCATTGGCCTATTGTTTTGATGAAAATTAAAGAAATGCACGTTTATTTGTAGAAGATATTAACAGTGTTACACTATATACTGATATGAATCAGCATCGCAAGTAGTCGATATTAGCATTCAAGTGTTGTAGCAGCTTCCATCAATTCTTTGTATTCTTTTTGATACTGTTTCTTATTACCAGAGGCTGTACTCGCTGATACGGCTCTACCAACATATGAAATGGCCCGCTCTCCTTTGATAGCGGTTATTATCCTAGGGTGTACGTAAGGCCAAGCTCCTTGGTTCTTGTGTTCTTCCTGCAACCAAACAATTTTTGCGTTGGGGTACTTTGCACATTCTTTTTTAACCAAATCAAAAGGAAACGGCGTTATCTGTTCCACGCGAGCCATTGCGATTTTGGAATCGATTCCTTTTTCTTTAAGCAATTTTGCAACTTCGTAGAAAATTTTCCCAGAGCAGAACATCAATTTCTCCACTCCCTCCGGGTTTTCACTAGCGGGTCCTTCGGCTGGTATGAGTCGATGGAACTCGGAGCCTTCCGCCATGTCGCAAAACGGGCTTCTGCAAGCTGGATTTCGAAGCAAACTTTTGGGGGTCATTAGTATAAGGGGTTTTCTGAAGGGCAATGCTATTTGCCTTCTAAGAATGTGAAACAAATTAGATGGGGTCGTACAGTTTGCCACGATCCAGTTTATATGTTGAAGTTGGCGAATGGCGAACTGTTCATCTTCCTTTGGAAAGTCGTCCGGGTCATCTGAAGAGAGCTGTAGGAAACGTTCTAATCGAGCGCTGGAATGCTCAGGTCCCATACCTTCTAGTCCATGTGGCAGATACAAAACTATACCGGACTGTCTCAACCACTTCGCCTGTCCACTAGCCAAATAGAGGTCAGTGATGCATTGTGCAACATTGTTGAAGTCGCCGAATTGCGCCTCCCAAATAACCAAAGCGTTCGGATTCGCTAGTGAGTAACCGTGCTCGAACCCTAGAACAGCATACTCGCTCAAGTGACTGTTGCATATCGTATATGGTGCTTGGTCGGGATAGAGATTACATAGGGGTCGATATTCTTCTCCGTCGTTGGTTTGGTGGTGAAGCACGTGGTGTCTGTGAGAGAAAGTTCCCCTTTCAACATCTTCTCCGGATACCCTCACGTGGATACCTTCTTTTAATAAGGACCCGTAGGCCAGTGCCTCCCCTATGGCCCAATCAGCCACTTTATTTTGTACCAATTCCATTCTAGCTGCCAAAATACGCTCAATACCTTTGTGTAACTTGAATTGGGATGTGTTTGGAGGAGGAGAAGCGAATTTTCTGCCAACATGTGCCAATATTTCTTCTTTTACACCGGTTGGGTTAGCTTTTAGTGGATCCTTGCCTTCAAAGAAACCAGACCACGGGCTGTCGATCCAATCACTGTATTTCATGTGGGTTTCCTTACTAGCTTTCTGGAACTCTTCTTCGCATATTTTGTCGTATTTGTCTTGAATTTCTTTCACTTCCGCTTCTTTGGCAACGCCTTCTTTGATTAGCTTTTCCGCATAAAGTTCCAAGCAATTCTTCATACTGTGGATTTTTTGGTACATGAGCGGCTGGGTGAACATGGGTTCATCCAACTCATTGTGGCCGTACCTTCTGTATCCTACTAGATCGATGACCACGTCTCTGTGGAAAGTTGCTCTCCATTCTGCAGCGACTTTACTGACGTGCGTAACACTGTCCGGATCATCAGCGTTTACGTGGAATATCGGCGCGTGCACTACTTTACCAACATCAGTGCAATAAATTGAAGACCTTGCAAAACGAGGATCCGTGGTGAAACCTATTTGGTTATTAGCGACTATATGGATAGTACCGTGTGTAGTGTAATTTGGTAACTGGGACAGATGCATGGTTTCAAAGCAAACACCTTGGCCAGCGTAAGCAGCGTCTCCGTGTAACACAATGGGCAAAACTTCCTTTCCTTCACAGTCTCCCCTGTAGAATTGTTCTGCCCTGGTTTTTCCCAGGGCCACAGGAGCCACCAGTTCGAGATGAGAGGGATTCGCGACTATGGTTAATTGAATATTTTTGTTTGTGACGCGATTCAGTCGCTGAACAGTCATCCCCAGGTGGTATTTGACGTCACCAGTACCTTCGTCGGTGGCTTCTAATCCAGCGAATTGAGTAAATATTTTATGGAGAGGTTGGCGACAAACGTTGGCCAATACGTTGATCCTACCTCGATGCGGCATAGCGATGATGACGCTCTGCACGCCCATTTCGGAAGACTTGTCTATCACAGTTTTCATCGAAGGTATCAATGAATCACATCCTTCGAGTCCGAATCGTTTTTCTGACGGATATTTTTTTTGGAGGAAATGTTCGAACCTTGTGGAGCGGGTCAATCGGGCCAAGGTCAATCTTCGTTCATCTTGAGTGAGATTCGTAACGCCGGGAACTTCGAAACGTTCTCGAATCCAGTTGCTTTGTTCTACGCTGTTGATGTACATGTATTCCACGCCGATATGTCGGCAGTATGCCAGCTCCAGCCGTTTTATGATTTCTGATAGGGGCAGCGATTTTTCTTTGCCACCTATAGACGTTGTTGATGGCAGTTTGAACACTTTGGATAAGTCTTCTTCTTTCAACTTATGGTCCCGCATGATTATGTCAGGAGGAACTTTACCTGTTTGAGTAAGAGTGGTAGTGCTGTCTGAATACATTATCCCCAACGGATCAATTTTGGCAAGTCTGTGACCCCGTACCTGATAACCTCTGATCATTGCTTGTACTGCTAAATGGTTTTCTATAGAATTATCTCCTGATCTACCTCCTCCACCGCCTTCACAGTCGGGATGCTTCGCTAAATACGTTTTTAGCGGAACTTCGTTTTTGCTGATGGGGGCCAAACCAGAAGGGGGCGGGTGATAACCTGGGCCACCTGAAGCTGAGTTGCGGAAGTAAGCATCCCACGATGCATGGACACTGCTTGGGTTCGATAGCCAAGCTTTGTACATATCTTCTACATATTGAGCTGACGTTCCATTTAAAAAGGGCTCCTTTTCCACTGGAACACTACAGTATCTTCTTTGGGTGGAGATAGGTGTGGTTTCAATCGGAAGAAAGAACGTACTTTTCTTCACATAATTTATCCTTTTTATCGTTCGATGCATTCTTAAATGATCTTGAGGGCCAATTAAACTTTAAAAGAGTATTTCTTTTTTTTACTTTTTGATTGGAAATTTGTCAGAAAATTATTTCAACGTGCCATAATATTGACAATAGTCGATTAGCCAACTTAGTGAGGAAACAGTTTTTTACAGGGACTTGAATAAGATTCAGGAAAAGGAAAACAAAGTGACCAAAATAAAATATAATGTTTGGGCACAATCCAATTTTTATTGTAATTAACGTGTATAAGCTCTGTAATAACAATTCAGAAGTCGAATTTCGTCGGTTGAAACTACATGCGGAAATATGACCCATCAAATATGGAAAATGTCATTCGAATATGGTGGTTTTTTTCGATACTTGAAGTAAATTGACCAGTAAATTGACAAACTGTATATAGAGTGTGTGTCATATCAAACTTTTATTAAATGAAAATTGAGGTGAAATACTTGCAAAAAAATGTTTTGTGTAAAAAATTTAGATATCAATACATTCGGCTTCGTCATAATTCGAATGAGGTCGTTCTTTTCGACACTTGAACATTTCGTGCCACTTCGAACTTTTATCAATAGAAGATTGAGGTGAAAAAATGTTCGATCAATGCATTCGGCTTTTTAAAATTATTCACCAATATAAGAATATTACCTTTCACCGCAAGAGTCACTATTAAAGATAACCAAATCCGGGTGGTTTAACTTGGTCGAATGGAAGATGAAGTACCATACGTTTTGTCTACTACTGCGGCAGACATCATCAGTTGTATATGCGTTGACTGTGAGGAAGAAGATTGTATCTTGAAGTCTCAGCAACGACACGGATATACAGGATACCGATTAGAAACGTCGTGACTTATCAGAATTACTTTCAAAAAATGTCAAAACTGATATCAAAAAGATCTATCATCTATTCATATTTTAGGACTTTCAATCGTTAATTTTGTCATTGTACGTCCCCTTTTTCAATGAAGTCTCTGTTGAAAATTTGTTTTGTTTATCTATTTACAAACGGAAAAACCTCAATTTAGTTCACAGATTATTAAAACTTATACCATTAAGTGTAATTTACACAGTTATATTGTTGCAAAAAAACAATTTTGTAAGATTACATATTAATGGATCGACAGAGAACTTGATCCTCGAACATCAAAGGTGAACATGGCTCCCCAGGACGGTCAGTTGCGGTCGAGATCGACCGCTCCTATTTCTCAAAATTCAAGAGACCCATGAAAGGACGGCGTTATGCGACGATCGAGGAGATGAAAATCGAATCGCTGAGAGAGCTCAAGAACATACCAAAGAGTGCATATTTATCAGAACTGTTTGTTTGAAGGTGGTTGACAATGTTTCGTGGTGTATTTCATCAGTTCGGACTTCCATTGTCTAATATAATATTAATTGTATTGATATCCCTGAAAGAATCTGTAAAAAAATTAGAAAAGATTAACCGAAAAATAATAATTTTATTAAACAAAAAACTGAAATTACAAAGAAATAACATACAAGTAACAACCAAAAANTGCTTTGAAGATTAGAAAAAACGCTGGCACAAATGTATTATATCTAGGAGGAACTACTTTGAAGAGGACAAAATAAAAATTAATGAATAAATAAATACTTATTGAGAAAAATGAAAATCCATTTTTTTTACCAGAGTAGTAGTAACTGTTACCCTTGAGAATAAAGCTGGTGTGTGTGTCCTAATTTTTCATTTCATTTCAATTATAGAATTCACAAACGAACAAACTGTAGGCTTCAGAGGAAACTATCATCATTGATTATGTGTATTGTGTTTCATGAAAACGATGATGCTCAAATGAGTTCAGATTCGAATTAAATCGTGTATCAAAATGCGTGTGACGTGTTTAATGGATTCCCCGCATAACATATTAGCGTTTACATTATTAATGAACCTTAAAAGTCTATTAATTAGTTTGTGACAGATAATGGAGCGTGCGTGTTCGGCCTATGACGTGTACACGAATTCGTTCCTCTCAGATGAAAATTCAGGCACGGTCCATCGAAAGAGAGAAAGTCTGCTTCATCCGGTCGAATCGTTCATTGTAGCAAATAATGTTTTAAGTAAACAAAACGGAAGTTTCTGGATTCAGTCTGTAGGAATTAGTTTTCGTGCAGTGCATCGTTTTCTTCAGTATTCACATACAGGGCATTCCTTTAATGCCCCCCTTTTATTTTTTGAACGGGGCAACTCAAAAAATTTAAATTTGGGATTATGAAATTAATGCATGAACACTTTATTTTGAAGTGAAATTGACAGATGAAACTGGGTCTTGTGATACATCTTTTTGAAGCTCCTGACAAATGCTTCACAACCCTAGAATATAATGTTAATATCTTCAACTACTACAAAATGGCAGAACTTCTCATAATTGCCCGAATACATTGACGTATAACTACATAATATGAGGTAATAAGCTTAAGATCAGTTCAGAAGATGCTCGAAATGGTTGCCTTGAACTTCTTGACATATGAACAGCCTATCCGATATTTCACGCCGAACATTTTCGAACGCAGTAACGTCAATATCTCTACAAATATTTATTATTCTCTGCCGTATATCCAATATTGAAGCAGGTTCAGTTTTGTACACCTTTTGCTTCAAATAGCCCCATAAGAAAGTCTAAACGTGTCAAATCTGGCGAGCGGGCTGGACATTGTGTNTTAGCTCGCACTAGTTTCGACTTCTGAGGGTTGTCTTTCGTAGGGGTGCGACAGCTGGTTAACGGAAAAACAGATTTTAAACAGATTTTTAATAAATGAGATGGTACATTCATTGAATCGGTCTCTGGGCGGCAATCCATCATTTAATTTAACCAGTTAAAATCTGCACCGTTGAATTGATGACCTTAGTACCAGAAAAAATATTTTACTTTGGATAACACGTGGAAGTGTCGAAAAGATTGTTTTTTTCATTGATTTTAAACAAACAACAAATGAAAAGTCGGCAATATGGCTCCACAAGAGTCTGAAACGGCCCCACAATTCTTTATCAACCATAGTTTAATAAAATTTATCGCGTGGGTCTGAGGTATTCATCCAAATATTTAATTCAAACGAGAAACAAAAAATGTTTATTGTCGTGATAAGGAGCCTAAAATTATGGCAACTTCAAATTTTTCAAGAAATGAAGGATTTCGATATGGTTCTGCCAGCTTACGGTAAACCTAGCAGAATCCACAATTTTTTTTAAAATACAACACAACGAAAATCGGCAATGAGGGTTCATGGCAACCTAAAATAAACCTTATAGTTCGGCGATAGGGAGCCGAAAAAATGTATTCTTTTGTGGTTGGGTTCTGCCAGCTTAACGTTAAGCTAGTAGAATCCACGATATAGCCGTTGAATGAAGATGGCGTTAGCCTAAAATTATGACCTGAAAATAAATATAAAATTTTAAAGTGGTTTTGCTAGCTTTAACAGGGGTAGAGACTCTTGGAGAAGTAATTGTAATAATTGATCGGGAAAAAACACGCATTGGAAATGGCCCAATTTCTATTGAAAGATGCTGTCGTCTAGATTTCCTCGATATTTAGAAACAACGTTCTTAAGTTCTTTGTGGAACGTTGTGTATATTTGCTGCTTTCCTGTGGCCCATTTCTAGACCATGAATGGCATAGACCACGAATGCCGTTCAGTCTTCTTTTTGTATGTGCGGACCATATAAGCTTAAAAACGTAAAAAATAAATATATTACAAGTCACTCTTACATAATCGAAATAGTGTGCCCCACTTTGCCCCAGGTACCATACACCACTATGCCCCACCGACTCATTTAAAATTTAACAGAAACTGACGGTATTTTACCTCAGATTCAATGACGTTGTGCTTTTTGATTAACAAATCCGGAAGGGAACTGATTCATAATGAACTATAACACACCCCAGTACATAAGTACGTTACAGAAAGGATTGCTGTTCAATTGCAGTCTAGGATACATTTTCTAAAAAATATTTCAATTAAAATAATAAATATTCAAGGCAATCAGGCCGCATCTAAACATCAAGCAAAAACAATCGATGCTTGAACGAACTTCCGTGTGCATTTTTAGGCAATGCTTATAGGCTAATTGCACACACACCGATTTTGGACGGCCGATTTTATACCGGTCGTCCGAATTCCAATAGTGAACCACATGTGGGAACGGGGCCTGGCACACATGCCTACCGGTGATCGGCGTCGATCAACGTCCGAATTCCAATAGTGAACCACATGTGGTTCACTATTGGAATTTGGACGACCGGTATAAAATCGGCTGATATTTTATTGGTAGCGGGTGCTTGCAGACTCACCGGATTTTTACCGGTCACCCATTCAAATCGTAATTAGCACGCACTACCAAACCTCAATTAATCGGTGTGTGTGCGATTCAACGATTATGGACATACAGGATTGCTTACTTACATATATCGCCACGTTAAACAAGCGCGGAGCAGACGTTGTTGATGGCAGTTTGAACACTTTGGATAAGTCTTCTTCTTTCAACTTATGGTCCCGCATGATTATGTCAGGAGGAACTTTACCTGTTTGAGTAAGAGTGGTAGTGCTGTCTGAATACATTATCCCCAACGGATCAATTTTGGCAAGTCTGTGACCCCGTACCTGATAACCTCTGATCATTGCTTGTACTGCTAAATGGTTNTGTACCGGTCGTCCAAATTCCAATAGTGAACCACATGTGGGAACGGGACCTTGCACACATGCCTACCGGTGATCGTCGCCGGTAAAATACCGGTGAGCAGCCGTCCACTGTCATTGTATCGCCGGCAGTACCGGGAAGTAGTGGCGTACATGATTAAATATAGTCTTGCATACTCACCGGTTTTTTACCGACCATTCGAGTCTCGAATGCTCGGTGAAATTGTAGTTACTACGCATTAACTTCGTTTTGGTAGTGCGTGCTAATTACGACAACAAAGCAACTGATTGTTTGACCGGTGAGTGTGCAAGCACCCGCTACCAATAAAATATCGGCCGATTTTATACTGGCCGTCCAAAATCGGTGTGTGTGCAACTAGCGTTAGACTCGCACGCCTTCGCTCTTCTCTCAACACACTCAAAACTTTCAGTCTTCTGAGGTTGGTCGTTGTGTCAAAAATGATTCTGTTG